TAAGGAGATAACCACTCAAGTCAGTGTGGGTCTTAGCATTTACCATGTTTGGCTGAAACAATGGCTTACTTGGAGAGTTGAGCCTCTGGATTATAAACCAATGAAATCATCCAGACCAGTGGTAGTAAGACCACAGTCACCAGAATGGTGTGCAGCTGCAAAAACGAAGGATCTCTTACCCTTTGAGACAACATGGAGGGACCTGGAGAGTATTATGCTAAGTATTATGCCAGTCAGAGAAAGACAAATATCACATGATCTTACTTATATGTGGAATCTAATAAACAAAATAAACTGACAAACAAAATATAGCCAGAGACATGGAAGCACTTAACTGACTGAGGATTCTCAGGGGGTCGAGGGTGGAACTAGCTAAAGAACTTATATGCATACTAGAGGCCTGTTGCATGAAGAGATTCGTGCAATAGGCCTTCCTTCCCCTGGCTGCTGGCACCAGTTTTCCTCCAGCACCCGGGACCCAGGCCTTTGCTCTGGCCGCAGCGGAGAAGCCAAGCCTCTTCAGTCTTCAGTCTTCAGTCTTCACTGGGGCCAAAGCCTTCAGTCTTCGCACCGTGCCTGCATATGCAAATTAACTTTCATCTTTGTTTGGTTTATTTGCATATTCATCCTGATTGGCTGGTGGGCGTAACGAAGTGATACCAATTTGCATGTTTCTCTTTTATTAGTGTAGATATGCATAATAACACATAGACACAGACAATAGTGTGGTGAAGGCCTATGGAGGGGGCGTGAGTGGGGAGGAGGGGCCAGTGGGGGTAACAAAGTAGGGCATCTGTAATACTTTCAACAATAAATCTGTATATATAAAAGCCCAAGTGACTGGCCAACTGGTCCACCGGCCAACCGGTAGCTATGACACGCACTGTCCACCACAGGGAAGACACTCAATGCAGGAGCAGAAACCACATGCATGGAAACATGGAACAGACTGATGACTCTCAGAGGGGAGGGGGAAGTAGAGGCCCGGTGCACAGATTCGTGCATCGGTGGCATCCCTTGGCCTGGCCTACGCCCTCTCACAATCCGGGACACCTCAGGGGATGTCAGAGAGCCGGTTTCGGCCTGATCCCCGCAGGCCAGGCTGAGGGACCCCACTGGTGTACAAATCCGTGCACCGGGCCTCTAGTTTTAAATAAATAAGAATTCATAAAAATATATTTAGAAAAAAGATAAGTTGAGTGGGATAAAATAGAGATTCATTTAGGAGTTTATTTAGACTTAAATTTGAAAAGGAATTGAGGAGACCATTATGTCTGTTAGTTAAATGGGCTATTTGGGACCTATTAAGGACATGAAAGTTCTACTGGATGTTTTTTTTTCCCCTCAAGAGTCCAGCATTGTGTATTTTCAGAAGTGAAATGTGCACCTTGATTACTATTGATAATATTTATAACTGCAAAGGTAATGAATGTCCTGGCAAGACCTTATATTGTGACCTTAATATATAGAAAACATGTGATTTTGTATTTTGAGTATCTGTGAGGCAAGAAATTCCCATAGTTGTTTAATCTGAAAGAGACCATTTTTAGGCCAGGGATCAAGCCTACAACTGAGGTACATGCCCTTGACTGGAATTGAATCCAGGACCCTTCAGTCCGCAGGACAATTCTCTATCCACTGAGCCAAGCCAGCTAGGGCCAAAATAGTATTTTTTTAAAAATTTTATCTTGAAGGTGATGAGGATCTATTTGCATCATTTCAGTAGGGGAAGGACATGGTCAGACTTTATGTGACTAGATGAAGAGAGAAAAGACTGAAAAGCTAGTAAAAAAATAATTATAAAAGCTAACATTTATTGAGCATTTAATGTGACAGGTATTATTCTAAGAGCTTTGCATTTATTCTAGTGCTTTATGTATATTAACTCATGTAGTTCTCACAATTAGCCAATGTATTATCACAGCCATTTTAAAAATGAAGGGAAAAGACACAAAGAGGTCAAGTGACTTACTCAAGAATTACAAAGCTAATAAGTAGCAGAGATAAGATTCAAGCCGAGTCCAGTTCAAAACTCATGCTCTTCATCAATATGCTTTAATGCTCCCCTTTTCTATAATAGATTAGGGCAATAACACAGGCTTGAAATCACAAGGTTCTGCTACATGGCAAAAATGATGGGAAGATGGAGAGATTATGTGAAAGCAATTTGGGAAACAAAAATTGACAATGTGAGGGAACAACTGTGAAGCATAAGGGAGAGAGGAATCTAAGATGACTCTGACTTTTACCTGGCTGGGGGTGGCTCAGTGGTTGAGCATCGACCTATGAGCCAGGAGGTCATGGTTTGATTCCCAGTCAGGGCATATGCCTGGGTTTCAGGCTCAATCCCCAGTGTGGGGCGTGCAGGAGGCAGCCTATCAATGGTTCTGTCTCCCTCTCATTTCCTTTCTGAAATCAATAAAAATACATTATTAAGAAGACTCTGACTTTTGACTTGACTAACTGGGTAGCTGATTATGTTAGTCATGGAGATGCAAATATACATAACTCTGGCAGGCAAGATAGAAATTATTGGACACTAAATATTGATGTGCCTCTGTGACCAAAACATGATTGCCAGGAAGCAATCAGAGATACTAGTGTGGAGCTCAAGGAAAAGATCTGAACCACAGATGGAGATTTAGAGTTCTCAAGCAAGTGTTAAAGGCTTAGGAAGAGCACATGGAATAAGCAAACAGAGTTGAGAACACAACCTGGGGAGCATTATCCTTTTGAAAGTAAGAACAGAAAAAGTAGCCAGCAGAGAAGACTAAGGAAGATGGTCATAAAGCTAAGATACCAGGAGAGTGGAGTCATGAAAGTCCAGAGTGGAGTTTCAACAAAGACAAAATTGTATTTAATCCCATTAGAAAGTAGATTATGTAGCCAGGAACATGTCTGTTTTGTTCATCAAAGTACTCCCAGAACCTAGAGGCATGAAACATTGTAAATGGTCAAAAATTTTTCCTGAATATGAATAAGAAAAGAAACCAATAGTATCAAATACCACACAAAGTTCTGGGAAGGCAAAGACTGAGAAGTATTCATTTTATTTAACAACCTCAGGTGTTACTGATCTTGTCCAGAGCAGTTTCAGTGGAATGGTGGAGGGAAAGCCAAATGGGAGGGGTTTAAAAGAATCAATGCCAAGAATGTTTCAAACATTACTTTGCTACTTTTCTCTCATTTAAAAACTTTTCTTTTTGAGTGTTTTAGATTATTAGAACTCTGGCTTTAAAAATTCTGTCTGTGGTAATTCATTGCAGTATTTTGAGTAGAGGAGTAATATCATCTGACATTTTAACAGGATTCTTCTGGGTGCTTGCTGCATTGAAGATAGACTGTGGGATATGAGAGGCATGGGCAGAAGTTGGCAGGTCCACTTGTGAGGCTATTGCAATAATTCAGGCAATGGGTGATAGTATATGGGACCAAGATGGTGGTAGTGGGAATGATGAGAACTGTTAAAACTCTGGATGTATTTTTTTAAATATATTTTATTGATTTTTTACAGAGAGGAAGGGAGAGGGATAGAGAGTTAGAAACATCGATGGGAGAGAAACATTGATCAGCTGCCTCCTGCACACCTCCCACCGGGGATGTGCACACAACCAAGGTACATGCCCCCGACCGGAATCGAACCCGGGACCTTTCAGTCTGCAGGCCGACGCTCTATCCACTGAGCCAAACCAGTTAGGGCAAAACTCTGGATGTATTTTGAAGGTACCGACAAAATTTGAGGGTGTCAGTGAAGAAGAGGAATCAAATAGGTATTAGAATGACAGGAAGAGGAGTCGATTTTAGAGTATATTTTAAAATAATAGCACAAACACATACACACTGACAACCATATGGTGATAGCCAGAGGCAAAAGGGAGTGAGGGGAGGTGGAAGAGGGCAGATGGGGGATAAATGGGGATGGAAAGAAACCCCGCTTCGGGTGATGGGCACATGATGCAGTATGCAGACAATCTCCTATTGAGTTGTACAGCTGAAACATGCATGATCCTGCCAACCAATGTCACCCCAATAAATCCAACAACAAAAAATAAAATGAATAAAAACAATAGCACAGTTGATATGATGTTGCAAAAATTGTGAAACATAGTAAGTGAAAGGAGTCAGTGACCCCAATGTTTTTAGTCTGAACAAGTGTAAGGGTAAAGCCATATTATTGCCTGTACTTGTCTATGTTTGAAATATTTCCTAGCCCTAGCCGGTTTGGTTCAGTGGATAGAGCATTTGCTTGCAGACCAAAGGGTCCCGGGCTCGATCTGGTCAAGGGCATGTACCTTGGTTGCAGGCTACTCTCTGCAGGGCCATGGTCAGGGCTCCTGCAGGAGGCAACCAATGGATGTGCTTCTCTCGCATTCATGTTTCTCTCTCTTTCCCTCTCCCTAAAAACCAATGGAAAAATACTAGTATCCTCGGGTGGGGATTAACAAAAAACAAACAAACAAAACTTATGGGAGATGAGGGAGTTGCAACCACCGATCCTGGATGAAACTGTTACATAGGGAAGGAGGAACCTAGAGAGCTGCGATGACAAGAAGGCACAGGAGGAGAGGGGATTTTTCCTGAAGAGAAAATTTGCTTTGTTCACTGATAAATCACAGGGGCATAGCACGCTGCTGGCTACCACGCGGGTGTTCAGAAAGCCTGAAGCTGGCCCAAGGCGGCTAACAGAACGCTGTCCAACACGGACGGGAGCTGGAGCCTGGATCCAGCAGGGACAGCGAATTCTCGGCCCATCCCTGGCCAGGCAGCACCCGCGCCCTAAGGATCTCCCACTTTGGGCCGCTAGGAAACCAGGGGCAGGAAGGAGGGACACCCATGCTGGGGACACAAGAGGGGTGGGTGGGTCCAGCAAAGCTCCGCCCACTGGCAGGCTTTACCGTTCTGGCTCCGGTGTCCCCGCGGCCCCTCCCGAAGCAGCTCCGGTTCCTCGCAAGCCCGGGGCGGGCCGGAAATGACGCGGCTCGTCACACGTGATTGGAGGAAGCAGAAATTGCTTTTCGGCCGGTACGGAAATTGCCTTCCTTTTAGCTTCCGCTCCTGGTCCATGTGAGGGACAGACCGCTGAGATGAGCGGGGTTCGGGCTGCGAAGAGGTGAGGGGTAAAGAAGGGTCGGGAGGCTGGGTTTCAATGGGGGTCGGATTTTGAGACGTGGATGCCGTTTAACAGATTACACTTGTTTCCCTCTCAAAAATTCACTATTCGTTACTGTTTCCGCGATCCATCTTTTAAAACCCTTTTAATTTAACTTAATTCTCTCCCTAGCTGTATTCTTATCCTTGTGGTCCCGATGCGGTCTCTCCCTCTCCAGCTAAGTTAATATGTTGCATTGCTCTCATCACGTGACTCTTTTCTTCCGCGAGTTTCAGTCCTCTGTGCAGGCAATGCCAGTGCTGTAAACTCCCTTGTCTTGTAAACCTTTGCTGATGAGAGCCATCTGCAACGTTTTCTCCTGTGATGTTTCATCCCACCCAATAGGGGAACTAAATATAATCCGTTCAGCACAGCTTGCCTTCCGAAGACTGATGCAGATTCCATAACTCCTTTCTGGGTACCAGCAGTATTCCTTAGTTAAGCGTCTACTTTGTTGAGAAAGCCCCAGGAAAAATTGTTTACTCATCTGCTTTCATCCAGTTCTGTTTCCTCATTCCTGGGAACAAGTGATCAAGATGTCACTTCTGAGTAAGCTGCACCTATAAAGATTTCTTCCATATGAAGGATGCTTAAAAATATTAAATGGTGAAACTGCCTTGCCTCGGGCGAGCAACAGCATCTTCTGCCACCTTCCCTAGGGTCTGATATTTTTATAGCCTCCCAAAGGTCAGTGGGAAATGCAGTGCCAATCACTGGAGGGTGTTTTATCTTCTTCATGCAGTTCTGTGTGGGTATCACCAACCACTGTTCACCTCTTGTTATTTCAACTGATAATATTTCTCTTTTATCTCCTTTAACAGCCTTCTGGCTCTAAGGGAACAGGAAGAACTAGAAGATTTGCCAAATGACTACCCCTTGAGCACCAGTGAAGATGAGGTGGGCAACAATCGCTAAACTGTCTTCTCCAGTTCCCTTCCGCCTCAAAGTTAGGCAGCACATTCCTGGAAAGGAAATAGGTGGCAAAATTGTTTACATTTGTGCAGGTCTTGCAAATAAATTACAACCACTTGTTTAGTGTTTCATGTAGAAGATACTATATTAAGTGCTATGGGAGTTTGAAGACTGTATAAGATACAGTCACTGTCTTCAAGTTGATTAAGTATAGTTGAGTATATAAGAACAAAACATATGGTCCTCATTATAGGATTTTCCTATTTCCCAGATTTGGATTTCTGTAGAGAGTTATTTAAGTGTCTGACTGTAATATACATAATTAAGCTGGATCTCCAACAGATGCTATAGGAATGCCAGCTCTTTATTCTCTTGACAGAGCTACTTAGATTGGTTTTTTAATTTGAGAGTTTCTGAGTCAAATCACATTATGTTGCATACAGAAACATTATTCCCATAGCATTTTTCTTCCCCAAACAAGTTAAGACAGAAGTATAACATTACCAAGGCTCTATAATGAGGGAGTTTGGTTTTTGGAGCAGTTCTTTCAGACCTCATCTGATTCCCCACTGACCAAAAGATGGAGAGATTTTACATGGGCTTCAATTTCCACACTGCCTTTTCCCTCCCTTCATCAATCTGATGGTTTTTCCTTTTCTGTGTCTAGGGGGATGGTGGTGGAGAGAGAAAGCATCAAAAGCTTCTGGAAGCAATCAGTTCCCTTGATGGAAAGAATAGGTAACATTCCCGTCATTTGGACAGGTTGTAACCTGATTCCATGAGATTTATCTGCAACTAATATTCATTGAGTACCTACGACAGTGAAGACACAAATGCCAACATCATTAAGAGCACATACTTTGGAGACAGACTGCATAGGCAAATTTTGTGATCTCTTTGCACCTCAATTTCTTCAATTAGAAAATAAGATTAATAATGGTACCTACCTTATAGGGTTGTGACATTTAAATGAGTTAATAAATGTAAAGGTCTTAAACTAATGCCCAGCATTTAGTAAACATTATGTAATTGTTAGCCATTATTGTGTTAGACCTCTGTGCATATGAATTCTTACTGAATACACATATTTTTGAAGCATTGAGTAGACATTACTTATCCCCTTTAGAGAAGTTAATTGACTTGCCCCACAATCACTGCTCATAAGTAACATCCAGGATTTTAAAATCCAGGTATGTTTTTTGTTTTTAAATCCAGGTATGTTTGAATCCAAGTCCAATACCTTTTCCACTATGCTTACCTATTGCCTTGTGTTTTTGAGGGTCTGAGTCTACATTAAGAGATGGTTAGACTACCAAGTCCAGGTTAGGAACAGATTTCCTGGTTGCTTTGTGACAAAACTCTGGGAGAGAAATACAAAGAAGTATTTGTCCCCCAGCAATATGTGTCCATTCTTTCTATATTTTGTTTTGCCTAAATTTCAGGCGGAAATTGGCTGAGAGATCTGAGGCTAGTCTGAAGGTGTCAGAGTTCACGGTCAGTTCTGAAGGTAAGTTAACAAAAGAAGCTATCTGTGCATGGAGCTTGTGGAGTTCCAAAAGTATAATGTCACTTCACCACCCAGGAACTGTTTTTGATGTGATTAATGGGTCATACTTTAAATATTTACCTGTAATGGGTGAAGAAGGTGGTCAGATGCCCTTGAGTTTCTTCCATTTCTAGAAGAAAGCATAGAAGGCCATGGTCAAGGTCTCCCAGTGAGCTTGATGAACTACTTCATGGAGAGAGGGACATGAATGAAGATAGCTGCCTCTCATTAGCTTAATCATGTCCATGTTTTCATTTTTATTGATTTTTTTTTTTTTTTACAGAGAGGAAGGGAGAGGGATAGAGAGCTAGAAACATTGATGAGAGAGAAACATCAATCAACTGCCTCCTGCACACTCCCTACTGGGGATGTGCCTGCAACCAAGGTACATGCCCTTGACTGGGATCGAACCTGGGACCCTTCAGTCTGCAGGCCAATGCTCCATCCACTGAGCCAAACTGGTTAAGGCCATGTTTTCATTTTTATTTCAGTTCTCACAGTGCTTTGAGTTTTGATCGGCAGATAATTTCTCCGCTAGAGCTCCAATAAGTCAAGTTACTTACTTGAAAGCCTTCACCTAGCACAGTGATGGCGAACCTATGACATGCATGTCAGAGGTGACACGTGAACTCATTTTTTTGGTTGATTTTTCTTTGTTAAATGGCATTTAAATATATAAAATAAATATCAAAAATATAAATCTTTGTTTTACTATGGTTGCAAATATCAAAAAATTTCTATATGTGACACGGCACCAGAGTTAAGTTAGGGTTTTTCAAAATGCTGACATGCTGAGCTAGGTCCTAGTACAATGTTTCTCAACCTTTTTTTCTCTTTTTGGCTTCCTGGGGAGCCTTTTTATATACTTTGTTTCTTCACTATCTCCCCCACCCTCCTCCGCCCCAGCTGGGAAATCTAATACTAAGGAATGTGATTTTGTTGGATAGGGTTGAGCTTCAGAGGGACACAAAACTTTGTAATATCCAAGATTCTTTTCACACACTCCCCCAAGAACCAACTTTCACCCCCTGGGTTGGGGGAGTGACCTCACCCCTGTGAGAATTCATGATCAAATAAATGGCAGAGTTGGGATTTCAACCTGATACCAAGTCTAGATGCCAAAACTTTGTAACCATATTCACAACTTAAGAAGCTTAAATGAGTTACATTTTTTAGTAACCACTACCTATAACTTCCCAGAACAAGTAACAATGTATTCTCCCAAGCCTGTTCATTCAGGAAATACTTCCTGTGCTTCTACTATGTATCAGTTTCAGAACAGTTTAGATCAGTGCTTTTCAACTGGTGTGCCACAAGAATTTTAAAAACGTGCAATACCTATTTAGTCAGTGACACTGACCTTCTTCCCCTTAGATTGTCAGATTTTTAAAAAATGACAGTGACAACAGCCAACACAACAATAGCCATCCAGTGTGAATGAATCAAAATTATACCTTTTCTTTGTCAGATCAATATATATATTTTGGTGTGCCGCAGAATTTTAATAATTAGTTTATGTGTGCCTTGAGATGATAAAGGTTGAAAATCACTGGTTTAGATATTGGGCTATATAAAGAATAATACACTGATCTCATGAGGCTTACATTCTAGTGGGATGTGGAGACAATAGAAAATTAAAACAAGATGATGCAATAAAGAGATATGAATAACAAGAAAAGTCAATCATGCAAACAGGGGAAAGCATTCCAGGCCAGAGGGCAGCTGGTACAAAGGCTGTAAGGAAGAAACAGGATCGTATGTTTGAAGAATAGGAAGTGTGGCTGGAACATAGTGGAGGTGGGGTGACACAGCATTGGAATGACAGACCAAGATCCCATATAGGGACCAGATCCCATAGGGCTGTGTCCTATAGATCCATGTAGTTGGCCTTCTGTATCCTTGGTTATCACATCATTGCCTTCAACCAACCATGGATTGCAAATATTTGAATTAAAAAACACCAGAACATTCCAAAAGGCAAAGCTTGAATTTGCCACACACTGAACACTAGGCTGAATCCTTGCAAATAAAGTGATGTGTAGGCATACCCTGCTACAGCCTATATGCAAAATATAGGTTACAGCAAATATGACACCATTTGATGTAAGGGACTTGAGCATCCTTAGATTTTGGTATCCACAGGGTCTTGTAACCAAACTGCCATGGATACCAAGGGATGATTATAATTCCAAGTATAATGGGAGCCATTGGAGGATTTTCAGCAGGATCATGATATGCTGTGATTTGCATTTTCAAAATATCACTTTGGATGCTGTGTGAAGAATGAATTGCAGTGGGGCAAGAGTGAAAGCAGAAAGACCATCAGAAAAGCAAATGGCTTTTGAAAATAAATAATTTTCTTCTACCCTCCCAACCCATGTGAGAATGAAGGAAAGTGATCATGCCACTATAGCTAGTGATTAAAGTAAGAGAATTATTCCTGCTTCCCTGCATGTTTGCCTGTCTGCCGGCATTTTCTGCCTAGATAGCCGCCTGTGTGATAATTGAGATTTGGCCTCACTTATCAGTCTGACCAGAAAGTTTGGCCTTTCTACAGGATCAGGAGAAAGGCTAGTCCTTTCAGATCTGCTTGAACCTGTTAAAACTTCATCCTCATTGGCCACTGTGAAAAAGCAACTGAATAGAGTCAAATCAAAGAAGACTGTGGAGCTACCCCTTAACAAAGAAGAGGTTGAGCGGGTGAGTTAAAAAGTATCCATTAAGAGGAAGAAATTGAACTAATGAGGAAAAACAGGGTAAGAAGGGAAGGAGGGGGAAAGCCTGACAAATGGAAGGGGAAGTTGTGATTGCCTCACCCAGAAAAAGATTAAAACTAATCCTGGAGAAAGTGCATTCCTGAGAAGTAAGCAAGAGCTTATCTCTAGCATCCTGTTCCTTCCTTGGGCTAAGAAACATTGCCTCCTAATTTCCCACTAGTCCTTTGAGTTTGTTGCCTAATTTTGTGGCTCTTGTGTTTCTTGCCTGCTTCAGATCCACAGGGAAGTGGCATTCAATAAAACCTCACAGACGCTCTCCAAATGGGATCCCATCGTTCAGAAGAACCGACAAGCAGAACAGCTGGTTTTCCCCCTGATGAAGGAGCAGTCAGCCTTTGCTCCCATTGAGCATGTGCTCAACGGCTGGAAGGTAAGTGCTATGCAAGGAAACCGCACCTTGGAAAGTGAAGTTACGTAATGTGGAGATTGCAAGGTCTGCCATTGATTTGGTTGGGCATGTTAAACGGAAATTCCAGCTGCGGTCATTGTAGTCTGTCAGTCAGAAAGGGAGAGAAGGAGGTAGCAAGATTCATTGTCAGCCGTGCAATAGCCAGTCACACTGGCTCTATAGTTGCTCTTCATCAGTTTGTAGCATATAATACACATGGTTATTTCCGTGTTTTTGTGTTAAAACATCCAATTGCCATTAGAGAAGAAACATGATGCATTCTTTTTCACACCCCAGTTTTTATAGTAAAAAGCTTTCAAAGCCACATTCTGATCTGGGGGAAATCAGGAACTCAGCAGACCCAAAGTTTGCTTATAAAGGAATATCATCTTAAAATATAACATTGTGCCCAGCTGGCATGGTTCAGTGGTTGAGCGTGGACCTATAAACCAGGAGGTCACCATTCAATTCCCAGTCAGGGCACATGCCTGGGTTGCGGGCTCAATCCCCAGTGTGGGATGAGCAGGAGGCAGCCAATCAATGATTCTCTCTTGTCATTTATGTTTCTATCTTTCTCTCCCTCTCCTTTCCTCTCTGAAATCAATAAAAATATATTTAAATTTTAAAAATAAAGTATGGCTGTAGGATGGAAAGGAGACTTCAGGAAAAAAATTAAAAGATAATATAATTTGTAGGATTCAAAAAAGTCTGACCTACCATTTTTACCCCATACTCATCCGGATATAACGACTTCTATAAGTTTTTTTGTTGTTGTTAACTTAAGAGTTTTACTGATATATTTGTGTTTACCTTATTTTTGTCAAAAAGGTAGTAGTATGCTACTACACACTCTGCACCTTGCTTTTTCAAATGACAGTGTAATTTTGGAGATCGCAGGAAAATGATGAGATGAGAGGCGAAGATTGCATTAATAATGGTACCTCTAATCCCCAGGAACTCCCTGTGCAAGAAGATAGAGTGGCCCAGAGACTGTCTATTGAATCTGTTGGACCATTCATGCCAAGATTCATTTTTGAGAAATGACGCCAGTGTGGCACAAATAAGGAAATGCTTAGGTCAGGGGGTGCTTTCTAGCTAGCAACTCTCAGTTCTCTTCTTATACTTAGAGTGCAAAGTACCAAGGACTAGTAATATACTAGTATTTCTGAAGATTAAGAATCCAAAAAGTCACCTGGCCAGTGTGGCTCAGTTGGTTGAGCATCATCCCATGCACTGAAAGGTCGCTGGTTTGATTCCAGGTTGTAGGCTTGATACCCAGTCGGGGTTCATGCAGGAGGCAGCTGATGGATTTCTCTATCATAGCAATATTTTTCTCTCTTTCCCTTCCTCTCTCGCTCTTAAAATTAATAAAAACATATTTTTTTAAAAAAGAAGAAGCAGCCCCGCCGGAGTGGTTCAGTTAATTGAGCAGTTCAGTTGGTTGAGCGTTGTCCTGTACACAGAAAAGTTTCCAGCCTGATTGCCAGTCAGGGCACATACCTGGGTTGGGGGTTCAATCCCCAGTCGGGACGCATATGGAGGGCAACCAGTCGATGTTTCTCATATTGATGTTTCTCTCTCTCCCTCCCTCTAAGTATGTCCTTGGGTGAGGATTTAAGAAAAACAATCCAAAAAGTCTTGGTTCAGCTTCCTAAAATTCCATTAGACTCTAGCTAAGAAGAATTAAATGGGATAATGCATGTGAAAGCATTTGTAAACTGCAAAGTGCTAGAAATGATGTAAGATAACTCTTCTCAGCCCCCCTCTCCTTCCCTCCACTAGCAGTTTGCAGAGTTTTCACCTCAAAACCCTTGTTTTTCAATATGCCCTCAAAAGGGGAGGGGGAATCCCATTGCTAGAAAATGCTGCCTGCCCCTATTGGAGATTGGCAATTCACAATATACATTAGCTTTTTAAAGGCTATGAAAAGATAGTAAAGAAACCCCTTTGACTTACTCTAACCCAGAGTGTACAAACTGATATTATTAAAAACCAAATAAATTAATTCTTAAACTTTTTTTAATGAAGTGAATCTTGTTAGCTGATGAGAAAGGACCATACTTTGGGAAGAGCTAGTCTCTATTGCTTCTGTGTTCTCTCTCCTTCCCCTCCTCCCTACTGCAACTTCTTTCTTTTTTATTTTATTTTTTAGTTAATCCTCACCCGAGGATAGTTTTCCATTGATTTTTTTAATTTTATTTATTTATTTATTTATTTATTTATTTATTTTTAGAGAGAGGAGGAG